CCCCCCTTTTCCCCCTGTCCTCCTATTAAAATTTTGTGGGGTTTGGTTGTTCCGTATTTTCCACTGCTCAGGCTGGCTGTTGCTTCAGAACGTTTGGTCGGGGTCCTTCAAAGGCCGGAAATTTTTACCAGTTTCACGGCCCGTAGATGGGTACCACACACACCCGGACACACACATACACACACGCAGAGAACCTCTCGTAAATCTGCGCTTTCTACATTACGTAGCTGCAAAAAACGCATAAAAATTAGAAAATTTGCGAGTTTATTATATCAATAAGAAGTGTTCCGGTCCCGGTCCGGCCGCCTCACATGGACCGTCCATTTTTCATTCAGCCATCTTGGCCATTACATTTCAAGGTAAAATAATGAAATTTACATTTTCAGGAACAAAAATCCCGGAAAAAGATCGATGCAAAACGTGTAAGGGTGAGAAAACGGTGGCCGAGAAAAAGATGCTCGAAGTGACCATTCAGCGTGGCATGCATAATGGGCAAAAAATTGTTTTCAGAGGCGAAGCTGACCAAGAGGTTTTTGGATCCTAAAAATGCATTTTTGGCCTTAAAATAATTTGTGGAACCTCAAAAAGTTCCTTGAAATATCAGCCAGAGAGATCTAGACTGAGCTGAGGAAAGTGGTTTTTCGGGGAAGTCAGTGCGGGCCCTAAAGGCCCTATAGGCAAAAAGAAAAGGCTAATAAGCTGAGGGACAGGAACAACGGCCTATTCAGTGAAAGGTAAAGACCAGCAAGGGCAGTACCTGCCTTACAAAGTGACTATGAATACTTCGGGGAACCCTATTATAGATGGACATAGGCCGAGAATGGCTCCATCCACGAAGTGGTATTTCGCCTGAGCCACCAGCATGGCAAGCGGGCATTCTATTACTGAAATGTTTGGGTTGGGGCCTTGGTGGCCTCGTCCGCTGGCCCGGTGCTTCGGGGTCTCCTCGGGTCTCCGGTTGAGTCGTCGATTCCTTGGTGATGCGGTTCGGGCTAGGAGGGTCCGTGTCCTTCGTTGGCCGTCGGAGCTGTCAGCACAACACAAAACAGCACTCCAACGCAGAAATAACGGCCTTATATAGGCAGCTTCGCGCCATTATACATGCCACCTACCTAGGAGGGGATCTTGATGCAATAGAAGCACAGATTTATCAGTTTTCGGGCGGAGCTTTTTTCCAGTCCATATTTATTTTTTCGTGGAAACAGAAGGCAGTACGGGCCGCAAAGACCCAACAGGCAAAAGGAAAGGGCTAATAAGCTGGGGGACAGGAACAACGACTCATTCAGTGAAGGGTAAAGACCAGCAAGGGCAGTATCTGCCCTACAAGGTGACTGTGAATCCTTCGGAGAACCCTATTGTAGATTAACATAGGCCGAAGGGGTGCTTTAGCCGATTTTAGGCCGAAGGGATGCTTTAGCCGATTTTCACTTATTGGTACCACCAGCATTCATCTTTTTTGAGTTCTGTAAGATCTAAAAAAGTAACATACCTATCCGAGGACTAGGTCCTATACATATATTTTAATTTTAGTTGGTATGTGTTTATGTAAAATGTAAGGAAATAAAAAAAAGGAAATGTGAATAAGTTAAGGTTAAAATCTGACCCCGTGATAATCTTGTAAAATGTTTTGCAGCCGGGTGTCGAAACAGGTGATGTGGTAATTGTTATTCAAACTAAGGAACATGAAGTTTTTCAGCGTGAGGGCGATAATTTGATGATGCAAAGGTAAACCATATTCTTCCCTTTTTTTTTAAAATCTTCCAGAAAATCCGAATAAGCTTGGTGTAATGGCAAATTTTACTACTTTTGGGCTGGAATTTGATGGTTTGGGTTTGCCGATGAGAAAAATTGATTCCTGTGGAGTTCATTTATTCCAGGATTAGGGGAGGGAGGGAAGAGGAAGGGGCTAAATTGGTGATAGCACATACGACGAAGCTAAACTATCTATTTTATGAAAGTCAGTTTTCTGATTTTGATTGCAGCATGCTGGCTCGATAAATGTCCTAAAACAGGCAACAGGTTTATGTTAGCCTAGCAAAATCATCAAAAATTGCTCCCAATCGCTAACTCAGAAACCAGAAAAGCTAGAAAGCTGAAATTTCGAAATTATGTTCCCCATCCATATGGAACTCAAAGATTTCAAATTCAGCCCCCAGGTATGCTTGGTACCTGCGTATGGCCCCGTGAGGGATCTTAAAAAGCAAGATTTCCTGATCTGCTGCGATTGATAGCACTTTGCCAGCACTGTCCGCGTAGTGATGATATCATCGCCGATGGCGTTGGAAGCGATTTTGGAAAAAAGGAATTTTACTTGCTAGGAAGAATGCAGTCATCGACATTTCCTTACTCCGCCTCGGCCACACAGTTTCCTTCCCCTTCCCTTTCTTTCTGGTTTTGGAGCCAAAAAACACAGTACAAAGAAAACTAAATGAAAGAAAACCTGAATTTATGAAAGAAAAAGCGAAATTCCAGGAAAATATCGCTTGCTGATGCGCTGTGCGGCTGTTATTTGCTTGTCAAACATTTGGATGGTAGGGAATTGGTAGTTTCAACAGGTGGCGCGGTTCTGGAACCAGGTATTGTAATTCTTCAAGTCTTTTGCAATACTTTTTCATTTAGTGGCCAATTCTGATGTATATTTGAGAAAAATCGAAATTGGCAAGTTGCCAGGTCCAGATGGAATCACCTAAATTGAAACCTAAATTGTTTATCGTCCAGTGATTTATTGCCCGAACTAAGTTATTTTCCTCGTTGAGGCTCATTCAGCAGATTCCGTAGTAATTGGAACTTCGATAAACACATTGTCCATTGTGAAATGAAGCAATTCGGAGGCTTGTTTTTTTTGCAGAACAAGAATAACTCTGGTTGTTTCACCACACTGATTTGTATAGGCTGATCCAAGCGGATCGATGGATTTTTCGCCCTCCCCCCCTCCCTTCTACCTGGGCCCCCTCCGTCCCTCAACGGCACCTTCACCAGTGATACAAAAGTCCGGGCCTAAAGCTAAAACTGAAGAAAACTCTTCTGCATGCCTCATCGCCTTCCCCCTCCCCCC